GACCTTCTGATGTTGCTTCCTGGGACTGTCGACGGTCAACGGAGATGGTTGCAATGGTTGACCGGTGCGTACGACGCAGTCGTGTTCGAAGAGCAAAATCTGACAAACATATCCCGACTGCATCGTGCGGTCAACTTTTCTTAAGTCGTTTTCCTACGTCTCCAAAACTGCGTAGCCCGATTTCACCCCGTTCTATTTCACCCGTGAGTCAGAAGAATTACTCGTCTATTAGACATCCGAAGATCGCCCTTTCGCTTTCGTGTTTGAGGAACATGAAAGAAAATAATTGTTCTTTTTAATGTTATTCAGTTTGTCTTACTTTTGTTTTTTGATGGCCAGATGATTATAAAAAGTAATGAAGGCTTATTATTTTAGAATTCAACTATATTAAATGTTCTTAATTTATTGAAATTGATTGCTGCATACATCGTGTGTTGCTTCAAGGAGGACGGACAATGGGGCCAGGATTCTCCCTTAGAGTAAACACAATTAAAATGATTAGAAAACATACACAGTTCCAACGACTCTGTCTCTGTGTTTGAGGTGTTCCCTCGACTGGTGCGGGGAATTCTATTTGCGTTCTCATGAATGGAAACTTTATGAGTTGGTTGGCGGAGGTGGCTGAGAGCGTGAACAGAGAAGCGCTTCGGTCCGAAGGGACGCGGGTGCGAGTCCCGCCTTGGGCATGGTTGTTTGTCTCTTGCTCGCTGCGTATGTGTTGTCGCGTTCTGCTGACCCCAGATCAGAGGAGCCCCCACGTCGGTGTGAGGTACACGGGCGAATACGCGCCCCATAGTTCTTATCCTTCACGTTCAGCTGTGTTCGAGAACATCTGTTTACTCAACATATGAATGTTAATTTATCGAAGTTGTTTCCTCCTCCCAATATCCCTGCAACACAATGCCGGTTGCAGTCGGTCTATGCCTTCTCAGGGAGCCAAAAGTGAGAAGGGGTTTCTTAGAAGAGGGAGCAAGGGAAGCCTGCCCGCGGGATGCAGTCGGGGCAACTGACACTAGAACCGAACGCGGGGCGACGTTACCTTGAACAACGGAGAAGTTTCCCGCCGACAGCCAGTGGGCACTTCGGGGTCTGGTGTCAGTCAAGATCTAAGCGCATGGGTAATGAAAAGATCTTTCTACGCGGTTCAGTGTCACTGAACTAACCAGAAAATAACTTTTTTTATCGATTTCCGCAGTAGGAACACACCGATTGATGTGTTGACCGACTGACAATGTCTATTTCTATTATACCTGTCTAATGTCTATTTTACCTCTTTTCGGTCACCCTTCGTATGTTCTTAGTTTTGACTTTCATTCCCAATGGAAAGTTTGGTTCTTGTTGAATATCTTCATGATGACTTGAACAGCTACAGGTGTATGAATTTAATGATTTATTGGGCTTCAACCTTCCTCCTGAAGTTGATGAAACATATTCACAGTTATAGTTTTTTTCAAATTTTCTTTAGTAGAGGAAGTCATTTAATACCTCAGTTGAATATATAAATAACTATAAATCAGCCAATAAAAATTCATTTAAAAAATTCAGAATAACTGAAAAAGCATTCCAAAGAAAACCTCAATACGGCTAGACACTATACATACAGCCACCCTAAAGTAAAATCCAGTGTGAACGGTCATTATTAATCGCTCATTAAGTTAATGATAATAAATAGTGTTGTAAAATATATGAGTTGATGTATTGCCAAATGAAGTCCACAAGCAAATCGGAGAATGTAATATTTGTAATTAAAGAATTTAGGCTCATTTATAAGATAATTAAAAGTTTCGTATTAAAAATATGTCAATATATTCTTGGAGATTAATTATAATATAGGTAATCAATTGTTGCATATTCATGTGCAACACACAGGTGAAAACGACGTTTATTAATTAAAAATTAAGGCACCAGTAAGTATCAGAAATATCTGAATTCCTTTGTAAAATACACAGAATGCTTTCAAGAAAGTATCCAAACTTCACCATTTAACGTAAACAAAATATCTCTTTCGAATTTCAGTCGTCCATGTGCTATTCTGTGTTACTGAAAGATTGTAAACGAATTAGATCGATGTACATGAGGCATCGGTTTCAATGTTAATATGGTAAAAAACAGTTTTATTAAACCTACCTTGATTAATATTTTGTCATTATGTACTACGAAACGCGCAAATATTAATGTATTATTTTAAGGAAAGTAGACAAGATAGGCTGAACTTCCGAAATAAAGTTAAACTGAACGGAACACACTTTCCAACAAATTTATATGTGCTGGCTTCTTTGCTGAAGCATTCTGTATAGGAAACACTAGAATGCCTTTGGTAAGTTTATTTATTGTCGAGAATTTCTTCTCCTTATGTGCTATTTTGTGCTTTCACTCACTTGCAGAAAACCCGAATATTGACTTCTACTCAATGACATTCTTCCTACTTTTGTGCTCACTCTAGTTTCCGTAAGATAAATGCGCTCAATATATACAGTCAGAAATACTATGTTTTGAATAAATTTACCCATTACATTCAAATTATTTTAATAAACTAACAATCCTGATGCCCAATAATCTGCAAGATTATTATTGTTGGGTAAAAGTTTGTTATTTGTTGACATAACAACATACATATTTCTTCTTACTCATGTTTCTTTCACTACCTGTCGCTGCCTCTTCAGTTTTACTGATTACTCCAACATTACCCTCATAAATGCTTACTTAATTTTTAACACTCTTACATTTAAGTTTTTATTAAATTATTTTACATATTTGGGAATTATAAACATATACAACTTTCAACATAATAATTTTACTCAATTCTGCAAGGAATGTAGTTATATTGGAACTTTCTAAAATAAATTCTCTCCAATTTTAATACTGATTGTTCAGTACATGAAATATCAGAAACATCATACCGGAAACATCCGAAATATTTTAATTGTTTAGGCTATCTTTAGAAACAGTTACTCTCTAGAGTACAAAAATTCAGGTACTCTCTCTTACTATTATTCAAAAAGTACTCTCAAACACACATTTCATTTAATTCATTATTTGGCCTTTGTCTAATAAATACATCTTTAAAATCTAGCGTACGTTTTTAAAATTAGAGATCTAATAATATGTGAACAAAGTCCTGCTCTGAAGAATGGCTTTGGAGAATATGTGATTGAATAAGCGCAGTAGAAAATAAAATTTCAAATTAATACTTTTAAGTAACGTAGCTATTAAATTGTTTAATTTAGTAATTTAATTTTCGATGTTTTAAAACTGCAGCGAAAATGGCAAGTTCTTGGTAAAATATAAAATTATCTCAATATTTCAAATACAGTTTCTGATGCATACTTGAAGTGAACACGCCGTTATGCAAGTACCCATATTTTGTATTACATTTGGAGCTAAGGATAAGGAAGTCAGAATTAAAAAGAAATAAAAAAAACTTGAATTTTAAATTGGAGTATCAGTTATGTTATTTTAAACTAGTCTTACATAATTCTTTCCTTCTCCTATCATACTTTATTAAAATTGAAAGAACAATTACTTCAGCATTAACAATAGCATCTCGACCAAATTTTCTCGCAAACAGATGCTAAGTAGTACCTAAATACTAATAATAGAATAATATGCAACTATTTTATAATGTTAAGCTTAATTACATTAGTACGTGCTTTAAAAATGCGCTCCTAACATTCATTTTTAAATTTGTTCGAATGCAATAAATCAACATTATAAATCAGCTGCATACTTTATTGTTTGTATAAAAGTATTATAAATTTGTAAGAGAATCAAGGTTAATTTTTGGAAACAATTTTGTCATAACGTCACGCGTTTTTGACAATTGCGGGGGAAACACTCCGCTGGCTGCCATTCGGTCGGCTGTGCGGTTGGCCGCTATCTCTCCTGTGCAATTATTCGTGCCATAAACGGCGGATACCTTATAATCGGTGTCATTTAATGAACGATATCGTGCAACGAAAAAGGTCGTTTATAATGCTGGCAACCAAAATAGTTATTAACAATTTATTGTTTTGGAATACGAAATACGATAGTCCGTAGGTTGTCGTACAATACATTACCCCAAGATATCACCGTATGTAAAATTATTTTAAACAAATATTCTCTTTCCATTCACCTCCATGACTTCGCCAGTTATTGAGCTACAAAAAGTGAATTTTAAAAGTAAACGCATCTAATCGTTTCTTGTTGTTTTTTATTTATTTTGATATGCGAAAGAAAATACAAACGCGGTATGTTTTGGTCCTAGCCGCAGCTGAGCCCTTATTTGACCATTGTACATTAAAACTGCTTAGTCGCTGCACTCGGTGAAGACGATTTTGATGATGGAGTTCAAGGTGTCTTGGCTGTCTGGGAGGCACCATGTCAGTCATGATTGTAAATGTTTCGGTCGTCATACTGCGGCCCTCTTCAGGTCGAAATGCGGAGGTCGAAATACGACAACTGAAACCTTGGTAAGCATTCCTACGATAGCGAACAATTTCTTCGCCGATGTCATCGGTGTGGAATTAGATTCAAAATTCTGATATCTACATGGAATTGAGAAGTCCACCTAAACTGTCCATTGGTGACGAATCGATCGAAATTATTTCCTCTACAAATCCCCCCCTTCGAATTGTATTCATGCTTTCCAACTGTATCCGCACCCTTGTTTTATAACTTCACAGCACGGCTTCTCATGACCCGAGGTAACCTCATTGCATGTAGAGCCCGCCATCTCGCCGTCGTCAGGACATCTTCGTAGCCCGTCCAGAAGGCGAGGACCGCCGGCGAAGGCAGCCCCTTGATCGGCAGAACATTTCGCTCCCTGGGTTAAACTGTAAGAACCAAAAACAGTCCACCTACATAATCCTCCATCGCGAGCATTCGCGACGACAACCTGGAGCACGCCCGTGGCCCGGCCTCGCGGCCCGCGCCGCGCTCACAGCAGCACGCCGCCGAAGACGTCGGTTTGGTCGTCGCAGGCGGCTGCGGCGCCCGGCACGTCGCATTCCGCGTGTCAGATCTCGACGAGGATGTCCTCGAGCGGCTTGCGGCGCAGGTCGGGCACGGTGGCGTCGGCGGCCGGGTAGCCCACCGGCAGCAGCAGCGTCAGCTTCTCCGAGTTGGGCCGCCCCAGCAGCGCGCGCAGCGCCGGCCCGCAGTTGAGCGGCGTGCTCGTCAGCGACACCAGCCCCGCGTACTGCGCACACGAAAGCACAGCGCGTTGGACACGGCCGGAAATGGATTTTTATGAAATGAATTTTTTTTCTTTTCACTTTACAACAATGCTGTTTAGTACACAAATTCGTTTCATGTTATCACGAAACGAAATGACCCATTTTTATGTTGTTGTTGTTGTTGGTTTTTTTTTTTTTGCATTTTTTTTCTTTTTTTGCATGCTAGGGGGCGGATTTTAATCATTTTTTCTTTTTAATTTACAACAATGCCGTTTAGTACACACATTCGTTTTATGTTATCACGTAACGAAATGACCCTTTTTTATAATTTGTTTTTGCATTTTTCGTCGTTTTCGACTAATAAGTCTTTTTTTTACTTTTTACTTCATTTTCACTGCAATTTTTGCTGATTTAATCGATTTTAATATCATTTTGATGACAATTGCATCAAATAATATTTACGAAGTGCAACAAGTGTTCAACACAGAATTCATAAGTAGCCTATTCGATTTCCTCGTTCATATATTGTAATGTCAGCCGTTGTGAGTGTAAACTAAGGGTTCTTGGACGTTTATCAGCGCCATCGTCAGTTCGGCCGATTTCATGATAAATAAAGTCAGATATTTTCTTTTAAAGAATAGTCCAAACCAAAAGTTAGTGAGCTGAGTTCACTTGAACAAAAGGAATAAGCCTCGATGACATCAATAACATATCCAAGAGCTTAACTTGTTCATCTGAATTGCTTTTGATTTAAGTTTTTACGTAATTTTTCTTTGTTTTTAGGGAATTTTTAAAGCATTTTAAAAGCATTTAATTGATATTTTTTGGCAATGTTTTAGGTCATCAAAATTCGCCCCCTAGCTATTACATTTAATGTAGATTAATGTATAGGACATGAAACGTAATGTAAGCTTGTACTGTAAAAAGAGCTTACTATATTTGTACATTAAATTTAATGTATAAGTTAAAATCTGGGTAGATAAAGGTTCTCCTGTTTGTCTTGCTTCATAACATTCAGCAGCATTTTTGTTGATAGAGGCCATTAGTAACTTCTATTGACAGCCACATAGTAAGAACAAATATGTAGTAGCAAAAGATTGCCCATAAGTACTCCTATTGAAAGCTAAATTAACTCTTATTTTCGTAATTTTTTTCATAAAACGCCTGTATTATGAAAAGTATTGAACACCACACAGGTAAACGGACTTTGGTAGTGAAAAACTGTAAAAATTGTAAAGTTCAACCATGACAAAAACCTCTTTATCGGTCTAGTGACGTTAATAATCAAAATCTTTTAAAGCCCGTTCACATAGAAACATTAACATTATCGCGAGAACATAAGCACATGGCATGAACACAAGATTCGCGTTATCATTCACAATGATAATGGAATGCGAACGTCAAAGTAAAACAACTGGCAGACAAAATAAAACACACGTACAAATAAATTTAGATAATAAATACACAAAAAATATTGATAAATCAAAAATAAAACAATCATCTCTTATCAAATACTTTCATTTTCCATTTTCCATTCCGTTGGAGACGAGTGGGAGAAGACGATAGTGTTTTTGCTTTCACTCTCGAATGACACCAGCATAATCTTGAAAGGTTAGAGCCGGTAAACTTTCGTGTTAGCGTCTGATGATAGTATTCACGTTAATACAATGTGTAAACTAATTCCGAATGATCCAAATACATAAACTAGTTGGAAACTTCTGTTCGCCTCTTGTTTGTGGTAATTGTTCTAAGTGAATGAATACTTGCACACAGGAAAAGGTATGAATTCTATATGTAAAATGAAAGTAATTTTAATTATGTATTTCTCTATTGTTACATTGACATAACACAACCAGATGAACAAACGCCACTTTTAACAGCCGATGTTAAGAATTTAACTGTCCAACGTTTGTTATGAACTATCGAAACAAATGAGTTCAAGCGAAACCTGACATATAAATGGTATTACACGTTTATATGATTTTTATAAGAAGATGGAATTACAAAAAAATATTGAAAGACACATGGTCAATTACTCAAACTAGAGATTCCGTTGGTTTGTTGCTGTTCAACTTCTTAATGACAATAATTATTACGTCCCCCTGGCAGCTTCAGAACCAACCAAGTGTTCTACATCGAGTGAATTATAGCAAACACTATAGGTATCTAAAAAGTGTAACTGACTGGTTATTCGATTGGAGAACACATATCAAAGATAGTAATATAAGAAGCTAATTTTAAAGCAAGATTATGAATGTCCATAAAAGCTTCAAAGAACCTAAATGAAAGGAATCCAAATAACCACGCATCGGTCGAAGCCATCCGATCGCTGTTGCCTTCGCCTGAACGGAGAGAGACCAGTGTAACTCAAGTAGGAATGGAGCAATTATGTCGCCCAAGAGTAATTAATTGCTATTGAATTGGTCATGGTTTAGAGGTAATTGCCACAATGAACCCAGCACTCGTCTAGGAAACCTTAGAGCCTCCTACACGGGGAAGTCAGGGATGTCAATCTATCTACCCCACTGAACAGTATTTATGACACGGCTTATGCATCCTGATCGGCATATCACGTATTTACTAATTGTACTTTTTAAATGTATCAGTTGTCATGAAAACGTAACTAAAATTCTGTATTTAACTATAAAAATTATATTAAAACATACTCAAACAATTTATGAGTTAAATTGTGCAATATCAGGAAACTTGAAAAACTTCCGTAGCAAAATAATCATATATAATTGTGATATTTATGAAATAAAAAACATTTACCCTTTACCCTTCTTTGCAAAGTCAGTTTTGCTATTTACTAGACCTGAAGGTAAGTAATATTTACGATAGTGTGCTATTTATCACGGAGTCGGGAATTTCAGATTCATATTGTAGGTAAGCATAGCAGATAGTGTCGGGGTTTTTAATTGTTATTCTAATAGACGTTGAAAACATGCTTGTGAATGACGTTCGCAGTTTGAGTCTCAATGGAGTTGATAAGAGAGTCGAATTCAGCGCGTCTTATCCTTCGCTACCCAATACTTTAAAAAAATATTATTTTTATAACTTTTTCACATGATTTATACTTTAACTATTTTAAAATTCAAAGCTATTTCTTTACAAGTACCTCTTATTGTTTAGGGAGGAGTTCTAATGAACAACTCAAAAAGAGTAATTCAGATTAACAAATCTTATATTAAGAACATTGTGGGAAATCTATTTTAAATTCTAGTGTAGTTTCTGGGTGATTTCCCTAAGTTGGAGTAGATATGGAAGATTATTATATTATTATTATTTGTTAATATTATAAAATATATTGGGTAAGTTGGCGTGTTTTAATAGTTGTAGAAGTGAACTTTTATACAGATGCATGTGAATGGAGAACCTCCCTCTACCCAACCAAGTTATTACTCAATGAAGTAATTGGCGTGTCTGTGATTTAAATATGAAATTCAGTTGGATCTGAAAGGAATTGGATCAACATGTCCGGAATATAATCGAATAAATTATAAAATATATTATATATAAGGCGGTCCATGACCTAGTGGTCACGCCTTCTACCGCCAGCGCCCGGGTTCGATCCCAGGCGGCTCAAAGTAAAATTTGTAGTGGGTAAAGTGGGATCGCGGCAATTTTCTCGGGGTAGTCCCGTTTCCTCTCCCAATATGCATTCCACCGGATCGATCCACCAAACATTCCATACCCTCATTCCGCTAAAGATTCACAGCGGCGCCTAGGCGTTAGTCAAGGGACTAGCTGCGAAGGGCTGCGACTACCTCAACGGGTTATCGACAGGGAGGGTCCCGACCTGGAGAACTAGCGAGAGGGGAAATGGTGGGGGACGCCCCTCCAAAAGCGTAGATACGGATAGCAGAGGGGGGATGTTATGCCACCGCTTGGAGCTGACCCCTGAGGGAGTCCAGTTTCTTGAACATCACAAGGGAATCTCTCACGTGGATGGCGGTGAGGAGGATGCCGCAGGCGAGAGAGACGCTCATCTCGTTGTAGTAGTGGATACGCTTGGTGCCATCCTCCTTGTAGCTGTACAGCTGCTTGAACACCAGGATGAGGAACGGGGCGGTGGTGAGGTACTCCTTCACCCAGTTCGTCTTCAGAGGCTTCAGGTCCGTCGTCCACTGGGTGCCTAGCAAACACGAGCAAACTTAATATCCAAGACTTTTTTCTTCCCTATAATTGTTATTTCTTTAAAATTTTAATAACTACTTGTAAAGAATTCTATGTTAACTTTTAATTGTTTATTTACGAATTGTACACCATAGACATTATATATGACGATTACAACGAACAAGGTGACTGACAAAAGAGGGGTAAGTTTCCAAAATTCATTACTATTTTTCAATGAAAAAAATCATTATCCCGTTTTCGACACTCATGCAAAGAGGTAATAATTATAAAAACTAGTTTTGTTGAGAACTCAAAAATGCCCAAGTATTTTCATACGTCTGTTCTGTAAGCAGGTATAAAATAATGAAATCTTAAAAAATGTTGAAATATTTTTTCTTTAATTATTTTGGGCAGTATTTCTTTTAAATCATATCGTTCTAGAATATTTTTTTATTTATGTAACAAGTGGCACAAGATAAACGTTGCGTAAAACGTATGCTCGAACAATTGCGTTATTCTAATTGAAAGAACATAAAATCGTCTTTCAAAGTGTTGCAATACCGATTAATCAAATTTTAAACAAATTATTATTCTTATTCATCAGATCACATCTTAATTAAATACAATCTTCCATGTTGGTTATTTTACAAAAAACATTTCCTTCTGTGCATTTTGAAAGGACTGATTGCTGAAAGGCTTTTTTGTCGAGGAACAAAGCAGTTAACATGCACAAATGCGTGTCTCCAAGCAAGATTATGAGTCTTGCGGTAAGTGCGATAGGTCGAGAAGTACCCGATTGCGTCATCAAGCAAATAGTGACTGACTAGCGGTGTTTAAAGGTACCTTAGATACGAACAAAAGTATTTTATAAGCCAACAAAGGCCTGCAATGTAGCTTGATTGAGTTTTTAGATATTGTTTCAACAAACGACCACTTAATGATTACCCCTTTTACAAATATAATTGCATCACAATATGAGAATGAATGCTTCTAACAACAGAACAATAAAACTTATCGCAAATTACAAGACAATATTTTCAAATAATTAGTTTTTTATTCCTGTAATTCAGTCAAGTAGGTACGTATTGCTCGACAAATAGCAGGTACTAGATAGAACAATGACCGACACACTAAATAGATATAGAAGAATGGAGCCTACTGTAAACTTACCTTCTTCAGAATTCCCTTCGTCATCTGTCAGCATAACAAGAAAAAGTTTCACGTTTAATGAGAACATGTTTTGTCAAATTTTGTGATGAATAAATGGTAATAAGTGGTTCCAAAGACAACAAATTTTTATTTTTCCATATTATATAACAATTTTTGTGTAAAAATCTGAAATATTTTGATTTGGATAATAAAAGTAATAAAATCACGGAACGATGTATATAATACGTTCAACACGGATTTTTGGCGCTTAAATTGATATTTTTTGAAAACGGCGTTTCATAAGTTTCCTGATCGTATATTACATGACAAGATACACATTTTTTTAGATAAAAATTAAAATTAGTGCTAAATAATTCACAGAATTTTTTTAGCAGTGGCGCAAATTAATTTTTTTGTAAGAAGTAAATTTCCTTGCGATGGAAAACCTGTCAGTAAAATGATTCACATCTTCCAATATCTGAAGAAATTCGAAAGCAAAAATCCGAGAAAACAAAAACTCTAGTGACTTTATGACGACTTTCTCTCCCAAAAGGGAAATCGCCAAAGATTCATGATATTCTCATCTGATATGCGCCGGAGAATGGAAGCAGAACCGAAAGAGATTAGTATCAGTGCGACTGATTTATTACTTTCTAGACTAGATTAAGAGCATTGCATTCGCAGCAGCTCGGTTTTAGAAATATCCCGGGCAGAACAAGGATTAGTAGCCTAAGAAGGGGAAAATCATCAATCATTTCTCAGATATTTGATAAAAATATTGCAATTGCAGTGGCGATATATTGACCAACTTAAATAATGCAATATTGTACGCATACAAATGACAGAATTCTTTCTGACGGGAAATTATTATTAACGAGTAGAAAATGTACAAATACATCAGTGACAATCAGTTACGTGGTTCAAGAAATATGTAAAAGAAAATTAAGCCTACATTTCACTAGCAGTAATAACTAGTTACCATTTCACTTTAAACGTTGCAAGGTTGTACGACAGGAACTCTCCAACCCTACCGACCTAGAGCGCGGATAAGCATTTGATTTCAGTACATTGCATCTTCACGCCTCATAGCGCACGTACAGAATCATCCAAGGAATACGAAAGACTGATATTAGGCCTATGTAGAGAATCACGGTTTTCTAATTATAGTTGAGAAACGGAAAAGACGGTCTTGTGTCTGTCTATGAAACTTACAAACAATAAACAAAACATACACATTAAATATTATTAATACAGATCATACAAGATGGTCGGTCGAAATCGGGAAGGTAGAAATTATATTTGCATGGTACAAAAAATTTAAAAGTTAATTTTAAACTGAACGTGAAACACTAAATCGGTTTTCGGATGGCTCAATGTAGGGCTTGAATGTGAAATTTTTACGACAAACCGCTTTAAGGATATTCGGCTAAGCATAACCGCTATTATTTGAAGTAATCAGCCAAACAATTTTTTGCTAAAATTTATATCGTATTTCTTAAATATGAATATGGAGTGTGCCATGATGTGTGATTCTTTATTTTTACTATAACGTGCAGGGATTAATTAATTATTATGCTCTCAAATGTTACATAAACTGTGTACGTTGTACGGAAAGAGGTCCTATCTTCATAATGACGACAGCCGTCGCATTCCTGATACTTCACTCACTTCGCGGTTTCCATTTAGTCGTCTGCGAATGTGAAGGTCGCGGAGGACAAAATTAAGTTTCGTGCTTTTGTATTAATCTTCAAAAAAAGATATTACCATAAGAAGCAATCAGGACTACTGAACGGCTTGAGAATAGAAGTTGTTTCTAGCGCACAAAATAGTTTGTATTTATCACCGTCTAACTCAAGAACCACAAAATCAAGAAACGAGATTTGCGTGATAAATGTTTGGCCTCCCGTGTCAATTCGCCAAGTTAATGCATGCGCGTATTTTCAATAATAAAATGTCTCGCGCGGTGGAAATGTTAGGACGTCAACATACTCGTATAGAAGCAAACATCCATTACAGTTATTTTCTTAATAACTAAATAATCATGCTCGATTTCGAAATATTATGTATATATTTGGAATAATTTGTTTAAAAATTCCTTGTATAACGTCAAAACAATTATGCAAGATACTGAGTTTCCTTTCTCACCGAATCGACAAACAAACTATACTTGAAAATTCAATTCACATTCTGTGAAAACTTTAGGGAAGCAGGCCGTCCGACGAAGACGTTAGCAAAACACCATCAGATTGAATTCGCGCAAGCGGCTTGCTCCACGAACACGTAACAAATTTCCTCAGAAGGGAAGCAGGATTTAGCAAACCATAGGAATACTGTGAAATTGGGGAAGCAAACGTGTACTTTTGTTAAATCATCTGAAGATACCTGAAACAGAAATTTATCTCCCTGTGAGATAGTCTGGATGTCACTGATAAAAAGTAATCTGACAATGCGTTCCGTCACAGGAAGACATTAAATAAGTAATCTTCACTTTTTCGCATCTTATAATACAGTTCGAAATCACTTGAGGTTACCACGTATTATTAAAGGTCAAGCCACAAACCATCCGATGGCCGCTTAGCAAGGTGGGCGTTGAGATAAGGGAATATTAGGTAGTCATATGTTTGTGTGTCTTATGGAAAATTCACCCGGTTCAATGAAAAATAGCCATTATTGGAGGTGACCATTGGAGCAGTTATCACTGTACTAGCAAATGTAACTATACTATCTATGCACATTTTCTAGAATTCTGGGGAGAAAACAGTTATTCAAATTAGTTCTCTACGATCTGGGACGGAAAACCTATTCCATCACAAAGGGCACGTTGAGAAATAACATCCAAACTCTGTAGATGATTTGTCTTCCCAAACATATTTTGTTACACAGGAGTAAATATTTTATTAACAGTTCTTCCCACACCCGCTCGTTTCCTCCTGTATTCGTAATTCAATTTTTTAGGGTTCGGGTAGAGATCTCAGAATTTAAAAACCATGCACCGAATACACTTCTTTCCAGAGAACGTCACATATATTTTAACATGTTTTTCTTTAACTAACTCAATTAATTAATTAATTAATAAAGCAACTGACCCATGCGCTTGGTGTAGTTGACGTGCTCCTCCTCCTCCACGATCTCGCGGATGCGCCGCTTCACCTCGGGGTCCGACACCGCCACGTACGTCCAGGGCTCCGTGTGCGCCCCGCTCGGCGCCGTCCCTGCGCAAGGCACAGCTGCTCACGCCCCGCACCGCCTCGCCCCTTCTCCCATCCTCCTCCCATCCTCCTCCCACCCTCCTCCCATCCTCCTCCCATCCTCCTCCCATCCTCCTCCCATCCTCCTCCCATCATCTCAAATTCCGCATCATCCTATCATACTCCCATTATCCTCTGCTTATCTTCGTCTTATCCTCGCTTATCCCGCCGGCTATCCTCCTCCTCCTCCTCCTACCTAGAAGCTCGCTACGAAACGTCAGTAGAATCTGAGGCAAATACCTGTTTCTTGGCTACACTGTGTCAGTAGGGTAGAACGACCGTAGCGAGGGCGGGGCCGAGGGGCGGGCGAGGGCGGGGCGAGGGCGGGCGACGGGCGGGGCGAGGGCGGGCGAGGGGGGGGCGAGGCGGGGAGAGGGCGGGGCAGGCGGGGCGGGGGGGCGAGGCGGGGCGAGGGCGGGGCGAGGCGGGGCGCAGGGCGGGGCGGAGCGGCGGGGCGCGAGGGCGGGTCGAGGGCGGCGGCGAGCGGCCGGGGCGAGGCGGGGCGAGGGCGGGGGCGAGGCGGGGCGAGGCGGGGGCGAGGGGCGGGCGAGGGCGAGGCGAGGCGGGGGCGAGGGGGGCAGGCCGGGCGAGGGCGGGGCGAGGAGGAGGCGAGGGCGAGGCGAGGTCGGGACGAGGGGCGAGGGCGAGGGGCGGGGCGTACCTGCGGCGCGCACCACGTTCCGGATGACCTCTGCGGGCACGGGGTCTGCGCTGAAGAAGCGCACGGTGCGGCGCTGCTCCATGAAGGCGTAGAACTCCTGCGAGCGGCGCACCGTCTCCTCGACGGGCAGGCGCGTGAAGGCGAGCGGCACGTGCTCCAGGTCCCAGGGCAGCGCCGACGCCAGCTCCCCGGCGCCCGGCCCGTCCTCCTCCTCCTCGTCGGGGTCCGCCTCCTCCGCCACTGCGCAGCGCACGAGCTCTTAGCACGGCACAGCAACACGCTTTGCAAGCGCAAGAAAATTCGACATTTTTTTTTCTTTCTCGCGCAGAAAAACTCTTCTTACAGGGCCCTGATAACGAAAAATTCGATCAACCCAGTTGCTAAATTTCGAAAAAATCCTCTAACGCGTGGTGTAGCCAGAATCTATGTTTCGTGGAGCCATGATGCTGAAAAATGGAATGACGTCTAAACATCTGTCAGTGAACAACACTAGCGGTAAACCCTTCGCTCTATTTTCTCCAACATTGATATTCCCAGATCGATTTGGCTGATGCATCTGCATACAATTACTATTATGAAGATACATTTTTTATTTTGTATTAAATGTGTTCATCCAAAACAGATCTTTTACGGTCACGTTGAGTTTTACGAAAATATGAGTATTTTTTGACGAATGTGGCGTCAAACACAAGCCCGCTCCATATTTCTGCGCTTCTTAAACGTAATTTTGTAGGTGTTTAGAAGCAGTTAGAAGCTACGCAAGTTGTTTGTATATTATTTCATATTTCTATGTTCGTTTCTTCTTTTAGTTTTGTTATAAGATTTAAAATTTATTTTTTAGAAATTATTAGCATAGCCTATTTTAAATTTCGTCCTTTAAGTGAGTGAAATGTGAAAAGGAATAGATGATTTCGCTTTTGTTAATAAGATGTGGGAATAAAAAGTAGTGCATGTAAAACCGAGTTATTTTGATGAATATTAAAATATTACATTTTAATTATTATATTTTTTATCTATTTTCATTTTCTTGCTAGCGGTACAATTCTAATAGGCAAAATGTGCATCTCTTACCAATTAGCGGTCACAGTTGCTTGTAACCCATTGTTGTAACTCCGCATTGATAACAGGAGGCCATTATGACTGCTTCCGTTTCTTTCGGGCTAATATAAATTAATAATTTTATTTATGTCTAAAATATGCATAGTTCAATGTTGCAAGTTTATGTAGAACGTGAATATACTGAATTCAATGGCAGAAAGCTATTTTCGTTTAAGCATTTGATTTTTTTTTAAATTTGTTCACGCTTCGTTTGAGTAGGAATTTCTCAAATGGTAGTTGAAGTGTAAGACAGAAATTATCGTATTGTAATATTACGTAGCCATTAACAATGTCGCGAGAAAGGATGTACACCTTAATATAACTGGCTCGAGAGGATCGTGGTTTCGAGGGAAATACGAAAACAATTGATTGACGCTACATGGACTCCTATGAAATGAATTATGAGGGGGGGGGGTTGGAAAGGAAATTTTAAAATAAAACGAAAATAAAGATATTACAAACCGAGTCAAGTTCACATATTTTGTAATATTGAATTATTTTATGTCCGCGTTAATTAGCTCTAATGATCTCGAGCCCCAAAATGCCCTCCACTCAAGGACCCGGTAATTTTTGTCGCCGTTCGATCATTAGAACCCCCAAATGCCTTTTGTGCATAAATAACTAATTTATCTTAATATTTGGAATACGACATATTTTTTTATATAAATGTTATTTTATAGATATATTTTGTATGATTTTTTTAAATGCTGAATACTCCTTTCTCAATTGGAGAAAGAGGCATGTTTCTGTTTTCGCTATGCCTATGACAGAATAATTCTGGTCCAGATAAGGGCGATGCAAAGAATAAAGGAATAAAGTACTATTTGTATACAGTCATGTTTGATTATTCCTTTTTGCTACAGAACTGGTACCATTCACATTATTTACATTTGTATCCACCAGAAATCATTTTTTTTACAACAACGTCGGTTTTACAACTGTAGATACTGCAGCTCTCGATATAATCAGCATCCAGTTTGCACATCTTTCGCTTCTCCAGTATCTCTTAGGTGTAACTTGTTGTTGCTAAAGTCAGATCTGCCGCAAATCAAGTGGTAGTGTTAAATGGGTTTACGCATCGGTTCGGTGTTCAAATAAATAAGTATATAATTAATAAATAAACGAATAAAATATCTCTTGCTCTAACATTGGAGTGATGCAACAATAACTTCACTTCTTCGTTCACGTTTCAAGAAGCATTAATCGGTTTCGTCCGATTCGTGTTAAGTGAGGAAACCCTAGGATTATTTAACATAGACAAAGCTGGTGAACATTTTTCTGTTTCAAACTTTTCACAGATTCTTACGAGTGTTAATGCAAAAGGTTAAGATGTTGGTCACTCACATCTTTCGCAAGACTCTGTCTCATTGCGGGTCTTTGTATTATTTCTTGTTTTAATGTTTCGTCTAACATACCAGTAACAAGTGGCAATATAAAAAAGATAGATATGAGAGGATTTTCATTTTTTCCCGTCATCCGTAATATATTTTGTTGGACGTCAGCACTCAAGGGCCCTTCCAGCGCAGCCACTTGCATGAGAAACAAATAGGGAGAATAACAAACAAATGTGGACTACAGTAAGCAAGCACAAACGTTACTTTCCCAGTCGTTTGCAAATTAACTGCAATACTTACATTCCATGCACTCATCGGATGCTATGAGCAATTGTAAGATTCTTATACAGGGCAGACTTGCTGATTCGTTTTTATTTTTTCCACAAAGAGCTTTGCGGAAAGAATAAGTCGTGTTGCTGTAATGTACACTTGTCAGTAACCCGATAGCAGACTGAAATTCTCAACCTGAAGGAAAGGAATTTGAAATAGTACAAGTACGAATCGAGCCTTATAGTCTCATCTTCCATTGTCTCATAGTTTCCGGTAATCTCCGATTTCGTATTAAGGGAAATGAATCCTATGATATAACTGACCCCAGTTCATACATCTCACATTACACTAGGCTTACTCCTTATGACTTACATTCGCCTACACTACTAATTGTGCTTCACTTCAGAATAGCAAATTTTGTACGTGCTATTATTAGAAAGATAGATTAATCATTGTAACAGTTGTGTTTAGTTTATGTGCATAGTACAATAGTGGCACTTCCAAACGTCTTCATATTCTTTCTTAAAGAAGCCATAAACCAGTGATTTGTGTATAGATAAATAGCATAAGCATTTCATAAATTGCTATGCCAAAATGCCTGTTAAAAGACTGCAGGGTTTCTTTTCGAAATGGTATTGGTTAGATTCACCGTTGACGAGAATCGAAGAAAATCTAAATTCTCACTCAGATCTTAGCAGACCAAACGTAGAATGTTTGTTGGACGGGGTGGAGAGTTGTGGAAGGATATCAGATTTACAGTTCATGAAGCTTTCCAACGAGAGGGTTTAGACGACTTAACCCCCTCGTTTGAGAATTTAGAAAGCAGATACCTGAATTTTAAAAGCCAATGTCTTTCTGAGTTAGCCAATTTATAAGAAAAACATGTCAGTAAGACAAATCCTATGGGAAGCTTACCACAGATGAAATTGCCAACATTCTCGGGCAATAACATTCAGTTTATGCAATTTTATTCATAACGGCAGTGGTGAAAAATTATTCACTGAGCAATCTTGAAAAATATATGCATCAGCTTTCAGCACCATTAATACCTTTCTCAAGATTATTTTTCGAAAATGTACAGTACGTACGTTTCTTTAACGGAAGCTCATCATAAGTTCAGTCAGCCTATCAACAATATTCAGCTTTTCTCATCGGCTCTAGCAACCATGGAACTACGTACACTGGTCAAAATAGTTCTAAACCATCAAAAGATACAAAATAAAATTGTTTATCAATTATAAATTAACCTTAACTAAATCTACCCAAAATGGGTAATACATGATTAGGGGTTGATTTTTGATTGGTTGATTAGTGATTCCGGGAGCGACAAAAGCTTCGATCTTTAGCCCCGTTAATGTAGTGTACGTTTTTAACGGGAGAGTTGGATGCGATCATCCCCCGCGGTATGATGCGATGAGGCGCCGACCCACCGTCGGCTAGCGGGGTTTCCCCCAACCAGGTTCCTCCCACCCACAGGGCACCGCCCACCCGGGGCAAGCTTGAAGCTCCAGAGCGGTCTCCAGGCATGCTTGGTAGTTTAGTGCTCGCGCGCGGTCCGTGGCCCGTTTGGTAGGGTACAGCTCCGGCATACACCTGGTACTCATCAGGGAAAAAAACACGAAAAACTACCGACCAGAGCAGCCGGCCACTGGAATTCTCCTCCAGATACTGACAGAACTCGACTAAGCTCTCGAGATAATGTCAAAATCTTGTTCTCGTCGGAACTCGAACCTAGGACCTCCCGGTAAGAGGCACTGCGGTGGCATCAGGTGATGCCCTGAGCCACCTCTCCCGGCTTATTGGTTGTAACGACCAAAAATTCGGGAATATGACTCTTCATTATCCATTATCCAATATTTCCCACAGTTTCTTAGTTGCTTTTGTTGTTGTTTCTAAGGTTGCATCAACTACTAGGTCATTAGCGACCACGTGTAACGGTATGGTAACTGTGAGGCTGACACGATATGATGATGATGATAGGGGGTGAAAGGACGAACACAATACAACCGAGGCGAGACTCGAACCCGCGATCCTCCGGTCCGGGATCGCTACGGCTCTACTGCCTTTGCGATCTCGGCCACCGGGTGCGGCTTCTTATTTCTGAAGTTCGGACTGGGCTGAGATTGCTCAGGTCGCGTCTCGCCTGCCGGCGATGTTGAACGGCGCAGGGCCTTGGCGAAAATGGGCCTCCGGGGGCCTTGTAATTGGGCCGCGCGGCCGAGGGCCGTAATTCGCCGGATGCGGAAGGCGGCGCGAATACATTAAAGCTGCGAAGGAGCGCGCACGAGAGGGGGCGTGGCCGCCCGCTGCGCCGCCGCCCGAATAAATTGCATCTTGTTTCGTGAAACCACTCTTTATTGAAACCATTGATCCGCCGACTTGCAACTGAGCAGGCCTACGCCTTTGCCGGGCATCAGTGTTGTTTGAAAAAGAAGAATGCTGCATAAAGGATGAAATAACAAACGACACGCTTGTTTTAATAAAGAGGTTTATTTTTCGTTTGTCACTTGTTATTGAAAACATGCAAGAGAAAATAG